TTGATTTTCATGCTAGAATTCTGGCATTCCATTTCAGATGTTTCTTTCAGTTATTTCTCTCAACATTCAACTTAAGTAAATTTTATCTTAATGAATATGAAATAATTAGTGGGAAAAAACTGATATATTTCCAAGTACAGGCTAAATTTATGCAGAAGATGATGTTTTGGAATTTGTGACTGACTGAAATAATAGGTGAAAATAAATATATCAATTAATTAAACATTTCAATATGGAAATAGTCTATGATAGTGTTTCATGCTTTTTTATTTAGGGGCCAGATGCCTAATTTTTTTTTTACATCATTGTTCATTTTTAAACAATATTTGCTTCCCCCCACCCCCTCAGGTGTAGTCCCCATAGAGATTCCTTCACCAATGCACCCGTGTGCCATCACTTCAGTCCCCTGTGCTCCTCCCTCCTTCCCTCTGATCCCTCTCCCTCCTCCTCCCCTGCAGGATGTCTCTGGTTTATAATTCTCTGTTTTTGCTTTGTTGTGTTTTGTACTGCTATTATTTTTTACACTGATGTTTAATTTGGTTCCCCTATATTCCTGCTATAAGTGAAACCATCTGATATTTTTCTTTTTCCTTCTGGCTTATTTCACTGAGCATAATTCCTTCTAGCTCCATCCATGTTGCTGCGAATGGCATGAGTTTATCTTTTTTGATTGTTAAATAATATTCCATTGTGTATACACACCGCATCTTCTTGATCCAGTCCAGATGCCTGACTTTTAAAAAAAGAATCAGCAATTTTATATATGCTGGACTTACATTTGGTAATAAGCAATTTTTGTTTGCCTATTTAATCTGCCTTCCTTTGGTCATATTGGTACTAGGTTTGTGAGCTATAAGCCAAGGGAGTGTGAATTCCTATTAAGTATTCCTTCAGACAACAAGTATTTCCTGCATAGTAAGAAAAGAGATTTATTCTAATGTCAGAGGAATCAGGAGAACTAATAATTTATTTTTCATGCCTAACTGCTTACTACCAGGAAATGTGCAGTGATAAAAAGGGAGTAAAATGAAATCCTTCAATCAGTCTTTCAGAAAGCTACCAGCTGACCCCAAAGTACACCTTAAGTTTTTTTTCTAAAAGCTTCTTAAAGAGGTTCCTTTGAATTCTGGAGTGGGTACTATAGATTATTCTGTGCAATTGAAGACATACTATGTATTACAGTAATAGCAGAGACAAGAATGTTTGAGCATGTGAGTTAGAGTTTCCCCTGCTTTATGTTACACATACTTGTTCATTTGCCAGTCTGTGCCTTGAATTTGTAACAGGAAAGGGACATAGGCCCTTTGATGAAAAAAAAAAAAAAAACACAAAACAAAAAAAACCTGCAATGAAATGTATATCCCTCAGAAACAAATTTTAGAAGTTATGTCCTATAACCAGTGGAAAACATTGATTGTAATTCTCTTTCAGTAATGAGCTAAAGAATGGAAAACTGTCACTACAGGAAGGAAGGACAGCAAGAATTTAGAAAAAAAGCAGCTAATGCCAGTCCACCCAGTAATTTTAGGCAACCATTGTTTCGTAGATAGAAGTCAAATTGACCCCAACTGCATGGTGCACCAGAGCTTTCAAACTGCAAGTCGGTGTGAATATAAAGAAGGGCTTATTATGTTGACATAAATTAGGTTTCAAATAAAGTCTTGACAGAAACATCATCCATTAATCTGTTAAACAAAATTTTGCTCTTTAAGATTTTCTTCTTTAGTTCTTATGCTAATTAATAAATCTCTTTCTTTGGAGTTAGAGGAGAAACAAATATGCTAATTTAACCCTCAGGCCAGAGAAATATGAAATGGTTCTAAAAGATTTCAAGTTTCTAAATAGGACATCTTTGGTAACTTTGAGAAAACCAGTGAGAAGTAAAAATAGGTTCCTCAATACTCATGTTGCAGACTGTAAGCTTCACTAATATCCAGGATAGCTCAAAAATCTGTTGTGTTATATGAAACAGACTCATTTTCTGTGAAAGTAATGTGTTGTCCATTGGGTTGTTTTCAAGTTTGGAATTATGTTTACAAAAGAAATGCCTACACAGAAAATAGCAGAGGGACTCCCCGGTGGTATAGCGGTTGAGCGCTGGGCTGCGAAGCTGCCTGCAGCCTCTGCAGCGCCTGTTCAATCCCTGGCCGCCAGGGAGAGGGTCCCACATGGCGCACAGACCTCTCCTGCTGTGCCTGCTGCTCCCCTCAGCAGTGTACTTCGTCAGTCTGCCTGTTCTGTTCCCCGCTCTGGCTCTGGTGAATTCTCTCACCCTCCTGCACTTCTTACTGTACCCAGTGCTTGTATAAATAAATAAATAAATATTTTTAAAAAAAAGTTCCACTTTAAAAAAAAAAAAGAAAATAGCAGAGACCAGTTCACACTGGCCATAGGAAAACATAACATTTCATAGCAAGAAGTATAAAACCTGTATCCATTAGAGAGAAACATCTTAATATCACTGCTTCAGTCTTTCAGTACCCAATTAACCGTGTGTCTGGGGAAATCCCAACCTCACATTTGCTAGAGGTGGGATTTTCATTACCAGTGCTTGGAACACATGGTTCATAGGAGTGGACTGTGAGCAGAGAGAAAAATACTGCTACTACTTTTCTTTCCAAAAAGTATTTTTGGCAGTGTATACTGTATCAGTGTACTTTACAGGATTACACACCATATCTTGTTATCGTGTATAATGTGTAACATGATATAAAACATTATATTGGACCAACTGATGAAAATAATTCTGCTCCTTTTGGACAAGTGGAAATACTTCTGTGATGAGTAACAGAAGCTCAATTTCCATAGACTCTCCCCTGGCATCAAATACTTAATGTGCTTTTACTATCCCTTCGTCATCCTTTGAAAGCTGATCAGAGAACCTAGAACCTAGGCATCCAGAGGGGGAGGAGAGGGGACAGTGTGAGAACAGGGTGGGGAGAGAGAGAGAGAGAGAGAAGATAGGGTGGAGGGCTGTAGGTGCCTTGGTGGTGGATATGCTTGGAGACTACACCTGAAGGGGGAGATTCTATGCTTCTAAAATGTTAACAACAACGTAAACTGGTGATACATGATCAAATTTTTATTTAAAATAATAGAGTTGTGTGATACCTGAGGTCTATAAATAAAATATTTTTTTAAATAGGAATATACTCATCGGATAGACAAGTACATTATATTTTTTTAATGCGTCAACATTCTATTACACTCAGCAACAAAGTTTTGTCTTAATGCTGAGTATAGTTTGTAATGATGGTAGTCATACTGTGGAGCACTACTGTAACTTAATCTAATCTAAGAAAAGCCTTAATCTTAAATAGTATGGGGCCTCCCCAGTGGCGCAGCGGTTGAGTGCTGGGTTGCGAGGCTGCCCACGGCCTCTGCGGTGCCAGTTCGATCCCCGGCTGCTCCCCGGCCACCGGAGGAGGGTCCCACATGGCGCGCAGACCTCTCCTGCCGCCCGCTGCTCCCCTCAGCAGTGTACTTCGGTCCTTCTGCCTGCTCTGCCTCCTGCTCTGGCTCTGGTGAATTCTCTCACCCTCCCGCGCTTCTGACTGTACCCAGTGCATGTATAAACAAACAAAAACAAACAAACAAACAAACAAATAAATAAATAAAAAAACCTGCCTCTATAAAAAAAAAAAAAAAAATCTTAAATAGTATGTGTGTATGTGTATAACCTTATATCTTTGGAACAATGACAGTTTACATCTAGAGAGAATATATTATTGCTGTTCTAAATTTTGAAAACATGATTTTTTATTTCATGTATTTGAATTTCCTTTAAATATTCTAAGAAATGATATGGAATTTCATTCTAGGTGAGCTTAAAAATGGCTGTTGCCTTGTAAATTAATTATAAACATTTGCTAGAAATTAAGCAGGTCAATAGAATTGTTAGTTTATTTTGAGCTGTATAAACCTATAAACTCAGGAGCCAAAGTCGGTTCCTCTAAACGAATATATTCCTGAGGCTCCACTGAGAATGTGCACATCCTCCCAGAAGTGTCTCATTCTAGCTGGGGTGTTTACAAACCATACTTGTCAAAGATGACCCATAAGTACCAGTATTGGAAACTGATAGATATCTGCTGAATACCTTTTCACTCAAGAGAGTAGCCAGATAAATTTAAAGAACTAAAAATTCTACCAAGTAATAATTTGAAATAAAATAGCATTTTGGTATGTCTTCAAAATTGATCCAAAAGCAGTCAATAGCATGAGCAAGGAAGTAAACATGTATATTTGTACTTTCCAATAGCTAGCTAGCTAGATAGAGCACCTTGTATTTTATTGATGCCTGAATACTTTGCTACACTTAGCAAGTTTTCTCTTTAGTATTTAAAGTTGGTCTGCTGTTTACAAACCAGACTTGTCAAAGAGATGACCCCACACACTGTGTGTATGTGTACCCCCCCCACACACACACTTCAGTTTTTAGACAAGAGATCACTTATAAGCCAGAATTAAATATTTTCTATGAGATTGTGTAGGGGGGGGTCATTGGGTTCAAGGAGCTAACTATGTAGGTTCAAATTCCAGTTCTGTCTCCTCCTGATTGTCTGATTACCTGTAATAAGATGGCCATATTAGTAGAACATACCTGATAGGTTTGTGGTGAGAACAGTCCCATAGAAAGCCTATGTTAGACTTTAATAATATGCCCAGAGGTTTGTAAAAGAAAAAATGAAATAAGGGATACTAAATAGCCACTTGGAAAAACATGGCCTGTTAAGTTAGAGAGACCTCAATTTGAATTTCAGGTAATGCCACTAGTTGGGTGACCGTGGACATGTTACTGAGCTTTCAGAGTCTTCATTTTCTTTCTTTCTTTTTAATAAATGGAAGTACTAATCCTGTAGTCGTGAGATGGATATATATCAAACCTTACACATATGGACATTAAGTATTAGGCTACTTTTTCCCCGCAAAATTAGAACTAACCATTTCTAACTTCATTTTTTAAGGCTAATAAAACTTATTCCATGTACTTTTTTTAGGGTGAAAGTGGTTTACATGGAGTTCCTGGCTTACCCGGTCAAAAGGTAAGGAATTTTTAATATTTCATGTAAGTTAAGAATTTTAACATCTTGAAAATTGAATTTTCATTTAATATAGTTAAATTTCAGAAAATGTATTTGATGAAACTGAACTCTCTGAAAGAGTCTTTTAGAAAGCCACTAACAAATTTTCCCAAAGATCCATGGAAGCCATCCAATCTTAAAGGAACAACTCTAAGAGAGAGATTTAGCAGAGATTTATCAACCCTCCTCTCAAGAAAATGGTGCTTTTTGATGGCGTGGGATTTTACATACTTGCTCTGGAAAGGTGTTCATTGGTGCAGAGCAACTATTGACTCAATTTGATTATTTCTTACTTACCTGCTTTTGTGTATATCCCAGATTGGTCTAAACATCATAATTAGAATGACAAAAGATATTACAATTAATCTTTTTAAAAATTCTCAAATGAGCATTTTGCATAAACTAGGCTGATTCTTTTTTTCTGTGCCTGATGTTTTTCCTTTACCAAGGTAAATTTACCAAGCTGAACTTCATTTGTACCATTTTACTGTTTAAGGGCTGCTTTGTTGTTCTGAGGGGTGTGATTGTATGTGACCAGCATTACTGGAAACACAGAGACTGGTCCATTCCAACTTCCTGGAGGGATGGGGAGCTACTTCAGGTGGGGCCAGCTGTCATAATACCACCAGCTAATCCCACCACAGGGGACAGCATTATTGATGCAACATTAGATGCCCACCAAAGCCCAGCATATCATTTCTGTGTTCTGGAGAAGTTTTGCAGGTCATAGCAACAAGATGTCGAAAGTTATTATTCATCTAGATTTTTCTCTAGAGCTATATGTTGCCATTAGAAAAGATATGCACTTATTTATATTTACAGATTTTGAAAACTCTTCCTTTACTTGGCTTGATAAAGAAAATCAGATTGAACTGGCAGCGATGACATGGCAAACTTGTGAATTTCTTCACAGCAGTTCCAGACAAAACCCATTGATACAGCATGTGCTGCATCTGCGAGTCGAGTTGCAAGCCAAGGGATGTGCAGATTTATCTGCTGGGAAATAGTTTTGGACTTTCCAGCAGCTGTTTGTGGTGGCTGCATCACGCTGACATTGTGGCTGGTGCACTGGGAGTATTTAGCAGCTTCGATGTCAGCTTGAATTAACAGATCAAGTTTAAATCTGTATATTAGAGAAAATGGTAGAGAAAAGAGAGACCATGCAGTCAGTGACAAATATATCCAGATATGAATCTATTTTCTTTCCTAGTATTTTTTGAGGGTAGATTAAACAAAAATAACTATGTAACAATATATGTGTGTATTTATACCTATATTTAATTACACATTATATATACATATGATAGACATACATAAACTACACATATCATAAAAAGCTGGCATTCCTTCTCACTTGGGATTTTTAACTATATCAAATATACAGAAAAAACATACAAAATATGAAGATAAGAAATTCTTCATCCCTTATCTCTGTGCACTCAAGAGCTGCGTACTGAGTGCTTCTTAAGGGACCCAACCCAACACTCACTTGCTGGCTGTGTTGTCATGAATGCCTGACATATAGAAGACATACACTGAATATTTGTTGGTTGTATGGATGAAATATCAGTACCACAACATCAGTGCAGAATTATGTGGGAAAATAAACTTGTCATATTAGAGAGGGTTTAGATGAAATAGGGGACTTCCACCTTTTTGGAATAAATACAGTAACTGAGAGCCAGCATCCATACAACCACCAATCCTCTTTCTGCCCCTAAAAGGCAGGAGATCTGGGTGTTGAAAAGCATGGTACTGGTGTCAAAGCCAGAGCTAGAAGTCTGTGGTTCAAACCCTAAGCTCATTCATACAAAACCCTCTCTGGAATGGCATTCCATTAAAGTCACATTGAAAAGGTGGTTTCTAATGGATCAAGTGAAATTAGTAGCAATATAATAAAGGCTAACAGTCTATACCATGTTTATGCATTTGATTCTCAAAACTCCTATGAGAAAGGTGCCATATATAGGGAAATTCATATTTAGGGAAATTAAACTATGTTAGAATTTAATGAAATTATATCTTATACCATAGAAAACTGCTCCTTCAATATTTAGGAATATTTAACTTTTGCATAAGTTAATATGACATTAAGAATGTTTTTTCTTACTAATTTTTCATTGCTTAAAATATAATTATTATTATAATAACTACTTGTATCAAAAGAAGTGTCCCTCTTATTATACCCATTGTTTTTCTCCTCAACAGGGAGAGCAAGGTTTGGAGGGCAGCAAAGGAGAAATCGGTGAAAAGGTAAATGTCTCTTTACATACTCATCTGTAAATTATATTCTTGAAAATATTTCAAAATGAAATACCTAACTTATTTTGTGCTTTTCATATGTCACTTAATTATTTTATAGAAATAATTTAAAATATTTGCTTGGATTAGTATAGACTTAATGTTGATGGTTGTCAGAACTTTCTGAGCTTGTTGGAATGGAGTTCTATCTAGGCATTTCTAGTTAAATATATCCCATTGATAAATAAATGACTTGTCACTTATTTAGCATTGTGTTTTTGTGTTAAAACATCAGTGTTGCACTGTGTTCAAGCACTCAAATAAGTGCTTAGTTTATATGTATGCCAAGATCAGGATCCAACAGAAAAGAGATAGCTCACTTGAAATAGTTTAAAAAGTTTAATACTGGAACAGTTTAAAAGTTATGCATGAGGTGTGGGTAAACTATAAGGATTGTGTAAATCCCCTATCAGGTTATAGTGAATTCCTTAAGCCTCACATGCTTTTTTGGTTCCCAGAGATAACTATATACAATAGAAAGGGCTGGCAGATAGGGACTGGGAGAAGTAGTTAACCCAATATTCAAACAATGATTGCTTTATAGATTTACAGATTTCTCCTGAAAATACAGATAAGGAAATACCTAGTCATCCAAATAGTCCCATCAGATAATCATTTGAGTCTTTCTGCATTCATGAGTCATTTCATTTTAAACAAAAATAACACATTTTCTTTGTTTTATAAAATGTTATAGTATTGGATGGCCAGAAGGAGGACTCAAAAGGGGAAGAGATAATCTCAAATTTGTTAATATTGCTTATAGTTAGTTTTTTTTCCAGTCAGTAATTAGTTATGTGCTTCTTCAAATGTGTTTATACAAAGAATGAGCATTCATTATAACTCTGAGACAAATTACACATGTTATAAGCTACTTGATAAATTTCCTCAGAGAACTGTGAGGGAGAAAAAAGGATAGCTATACAGTAATCATATAGTTGAGCTAATTCCACTAATTGATAACTGTTTTTTAGAAGTAGAGCTCTCTTCTTAAGAATCTTTGAATATTTTGCTTTAATATGACATCATTGCTTGACCAAGACTTTAAACAAATGCTTTATTTACACATATTCCTGTTTTAGTTAATGGTATTTTAACCTGTAGGAATAAGTGAGAATAAGAACAACAACAACAATAAAAACAAAAAACAGATATATAGTCTATAAAGTCATTATCTCACAAAATCTTAGTGGTCATTTTGATGTTTTATATACATTATTGGTATTGCTCGGTAATAGATTCTTACAGACTCTGAGGTGGAGAAAAAATTGCTTATTTGGCTTCAAAGATTTCCCTTGTAATTCCTCATATATATTTACTATTATCTTCAAATAGGCAATTTCAGTGTAAGGTGAAAATATTTATGGAGAATGATTGAAGTATCAGAAGGAAATAAAGTATCAAATAGTGAAAACAATACCTTGAATGAGAATTACAATGCAAATCATTGTCAGATGTAAGATTCATATAATAATCCTATGTTAAAAAATGACAATTTGCCTTATTGTTTACTATATTTCAGATATTTGAGTTTTTTCAGTACTTCATGCTGTGTATTATGATCTTTAATTGCTTGTATTTTTTCATAATCTAAATAGTTGAGCTTGTCCTTTTGTTTCTAGACTAGAAAGGTTTTTTCCAGATTAGTTAAACAAGAAAAGTGTATAAAGTATTCAATTTTGTGTGACACCAACATGAGATTCTTAGATTCTTTACAACATAATTTGTTTTCTGAAAAAAAGACTAATTTGAATGGAAGACTGAGTAATTATAGAAATAGCTACCCTTTTTAATTGCTCTGTTCTGGACTTTACTATGTTTAAAATTTGATTGCTTTTAATGACATAATTCACTGGTTACAAAATGAAATAGTGTAGGATGCTGCTGTTGTTCAGAGTTGTCATATATCAAATACACATGACTGCTGATCCATTGAGAAAAAATATATAATCTGTCAAAGAGAAAATACTGTGTGATGATTTTCAGGTGATACTGCTATAATCCAGTATATATCAAGTAGAGAAATCTATTTTTTATTATAGTTAGAAAACCTAGCTTTTAGGCAGCTTAACTCTTAAAACCCACTAAGTGTTTCCTCAACATATCAAACTGTCCTTAGTCCAGAGAAGAACCCATGAAACCTGAACAAGCGTACAGGATCTCACTTGAAATATATTCCTGAGTCTAAAGCAACTTAAAACAAGGTGGGTAGTTATTTATTACCTGAACAAACACAGTTCAACCCAATCAATCCTGAAGTGAAACTTATTTGAAGGGATGTTCTTTTCTTTCCAAAATTTGTTACTTATGCTGATAGAACTCTCCCAGAAAGCAGCTATTTTCATGTTTACCCTGCTCTAATTTATCATTTAGACATGTAGAATGATTTCATCCCACTGCTCCATTCCTGCCTGCCAAAGTCAGGTGAGCATCACTCAAAGAAAATCCTTTCACTTACAGGCTAGTTGGAGGTGGGAGGTGAGCCTGTAGTCTGACTGAGGAATGGTCAGGTCTATATTCTGACCTCTCTGTTTTTGAAGGAGGGGTCCTCGGAATTCCTTCTTTGTGGCATTTCCTTAGGTTCCTTTACTATTATTGTAGGTATTGTATGGGCTACTACCACTAGTGAACAAAATGAGATGACACCTCCAAACTGTCATTTGTTCTAGCATTAATGAAGCCAAACTCTTCCTATGTGACCAAAAGTAAATGCATGAACTAGCTTTAAACATCACTTTAGAAAAAGGTCAGTTTTTCTAACCTGATAAAACAAGGGCTCATTAGATGATTTTCATTCCTAAACTCTGGATCCAGGATTTTACATTAAGTCTTGGTAAAAATAAAATCATTACAAAGAAAAAGAAAAATACTGGATAGTCTCACTCATAGTAGGAATTTAGAAAACCTAAATAAGGGATCAGGAAAAAGGCTAATTATACTGAAGTAAAAATCAAAATCAACAAGCAGCTATAAACCAGAGACACACTACGGGGTCGGGGAGAAAGAGGGAGTAGGATCAAAACAAGGGGTGGGGGTGGGAATTGTATAGGGACTATAATCAAGATGGAAATGCATGCATTGTGCAAAAAATGAGAAATGATGTAAAAATATACAAAATAAAAAAATAAATAAAATAAAATAATTACAAAAAGAAGCAAATATAAGAATCTGCTTCATATAGCATTCAATATTTTTAAGTAACTGCTTCAAATCATGTAATTTAGTTTAATTTTTTAAAATGATCATCTTTCATGTTGTTATTCAAGCCCTGACTTACTTTTCCTGATATTTTTCCTATATTTTTGAGTTAAAATGTTAATTTTAATTTATTCAGGAATTGACATTGAAGTTAAGGTGGACACATATGCTAGCAAATTCTTATAAGTATCTAAGATGTTTAATCAAAGTGGAACTTTTCCATTTAAATTTCCATTTAATTAAAATGATCTGGTCTTGGAAAAAAACAATCAAGTGAACTTTCCCTCATGAACCATATGGCTGAAAGAGTTGTGGACAGTTTCCAGCATTTGACATGTTCTGTAGCTGAATATGTTTGTGGTTAAGCAGGTTCTGGCTTACTCTTTTTTATGGAGTAGTGGGTATTACCTGTCTTGATATCTTGATTATTAATCTTTTCTTCTACTCTGAGATAATAATAATGATAAACAAATAATGATAAACAAAACTAATAATGATAAACAAAACCACAAAACTAACAAATGCATTTAATTCTCTCAAAATAGGAAAACTGATTGTTCTAAATTTCCAGTGACTTGTGATTTTTATTGTCTTGTTACCAGTTTGTTATCTTGGTCCTGGAATACCATGTAATATTTATTTATTTAAATCAGAAAATTGTGTTAAGTATTTTATTACTCTGGCTTTATAGCCCTCGCAAATATTTTTACCTGACATATGTGACATATGCCACTGCAAAGACATCCCACTTGCCCCTGTTTTAGTTGGTTCATTTTGTCACATGTTAGTGTAGAATTTTGTGTAAAATGTGATATACAAATGAACATACACATGTACTTTAATACTCCAAAACTACCTGGGTTATTTGTAATCAAATCATGAATCAATTGTTTGTGTTTCTTCTATAAGCAATCAACATAAGTTAATATTCAGAAATAATTCAATTTTTCATAGGCTAGTCAAAAGAAAATTTATTTAGGCTTAGTATTGATTTTATGTGTGTGCAGTCTTTTGCTTTGGTGGTTGCTTTTGATGATAGAATAGGAGGAGTGAGAAATGTGTACTAGAAAATGGCCTTCCTCATCTATTTCATAGCTTAATCATTCATTTTGGTTTCTAGTCAAGTGGATGTTAAAGAGCAGTAGCACTGAATCAATTTATTGTTATTCTATTGTTTTTTTTTTGTTTTCAGTATTAAAAATGTATTAGCACCTGTGACCTATCATAGATAGTCTTGATACATAAATGCTAGGCTAATGATCATGATCAGTAGCATTTTGTTGACTTATTCCCATAGATTGATTTGTTTCATACTTAAAACAACCAAAGTTAAAAGTCAAAACTACCCTTATACTAGTGCAACAAATAAATGATTTTGCCTTCCAGTAAATAACTAAAATATTGATTTATCACATTAAATATCATGAGATTATAGTCAATCAGGCAATCAATAGTAGTTATTTGCTACTAGAAACAATTATGGATTTAAATAAATCAAGACGTTTTACACTGAAAAATATTTTCACATTACATTAGTCCATTTTTCATTCAGTTGCTATTGTGGTAGTTGAACATAGTACCTGAGCTGAGAATTTGAAAGGGTACCTGTGATATTATGATGATTTAAAACCTGTTAGAGAATGAGAAAAAGCCCAAGTTAGTAAGACCATATAATGTGTATAAACTATTCCTAGAACATTCTGGGGGCAGCATCTAGGTCATTTAGCAGAGAACACATATTCCTGGTTTCTGAAGTA